GTTCATTTGACAAAGTTCACTGCACCACCAACCTCAAACTCTTCATCATGTCTGGTCGCGGAAAGGTAAAATTGCTTTTTCTGGTACTTCTGATCACCAGTTTCTAATTCTCTCTTTACACTATTTTCTTAGGGAGGAAAGGTCAAGTCGAAGGCAAAGTCCCGCTCCTCGCGAGCCGGTCTCCAGTTCCCGGTGGGCCGAATTCACCGTCTGCTGCGCAAGGGCAACTACGCCGAGCGAGTGGGAGCCGGCGCCCCCGTCTACCTGGCCGCCGTCCTCGAGTACCTCGCCGCTGAGGTGTTGGAGTTGGCCGGCAATGCCGCCCGCGACAACAAAAAGACGCGCATCATCCCGCGTCACCTCCAGCTGGCCATCCGCAACGACGAGGAGCTGAACAAGCTGCTGTCCGGNACCTGGCCGCCGTCCTCGAGTACCTCGCCGCTGAGGTGTTGGAGTTGGCCGGCAATGCCGCCCGCGACAACAAAAAGACGCGCATCATCCCGCGTCACCTCCAGCTGGCCATCCGCAACGACGAGGAGCTGAACAAGCTGCTGTCCGGCGTCACCATCGCCCAGGGAGGCGTCCTGCCCAACATTCAGGCCGTCCTGTTGCCGAAGAAGACCGAAAAGACCGCCTAAGTTGGAGTTCTCTTCACTTCACTTTCATCATCAAGATTAGCTTCGCCGGTCTGGTTCCATCATCTCTCTATGTTTCCCACTCACCCTCACATAATCTCATTTTCCTGTATAAACTATCTCATTCCTAAATCTTTGCAATATAAGTTCTTCTCACACTATTCGCAGTTGTTTTGTCTTTTGTATTGTCCAAGTTGAGTTGACCTCTTTGCAAGGAAAGTTGCAGTGTGCACTTTTGCCAACTTGCACCGAGAGGATCTCTATTTCTGTTTCTGCTGTTGCTGCTGCTGCTGCTACTCTGGAGAGGACACTCTGACCACGCTGTGGTGGTGGTAGTGGTTATTGTATCCTTGCTGCTATTATACAAGCTCTGAAACAGCAAATGACTCAAAGGACAGGGTGAAATTGGGGAAATTGATGGGTCAAAGTTCAGCTTTGAAATTGGTGTCAATTGCGTAATAGTGCCCAGGAAATAGAATTGCGTTTTCTGTTTACTCCGAAAAACAGAACTTGAGCCTGAGAAAACTCCTTAAANGTGCCCAGGAAATAGAATTGCGTTTTCTGTTTACTCCGAAAAACAGAACTTGAGCCTGAGAAAGCTCCTCAATGTTGGTAACATAATGCGTAGATTAGAATCTGCTCTAACACTGTCAACAGCACAAAACTTCAGAGCCCAATTTCTCTGACCTCGGTACATTTTTCGCAGTAAAATTCAAAACATTTCCATTCCACTGTGAAAACTCGTTCCACTGTTCCCTTCTCAGGGGAATTCGTACTTATCAGCATTACACCTGTCCCTGGTGGCGAGTGCACTGAGTTCTCTGCTGATTTGCAGACGCGCAGACCTGCAGAGGACTCAAGCGCCTGCTACTGCGACTGCACTGAACGACACGATATAAAGGCTACTGCGCTCCTCTTCCCAGTCACTCACTCGCTCACCGCAGTCGTTCGCTCAACGTTGCATCAGCACAACAACACAACAGCTCGAAGCTAACTCTTCACCCTCTCTTCAACCACCACCACCACCACCACACCCACCAATCGATCATGTCTGGCCGCGGCAAGGGAGGCAAGGGACTCGGCAAGGGAGGCGCCAAGCGCCATCGCAAGGTCCTCCGCGACAACATCCAGGGCATCACGAAGCCGGCCATCCGCCGACTGGCTCGCCGCGGCGGCGTCAAGCGCATCAGCGGTCTGATCTACGAGGAGACCCGCGGCGTGCTGAAGGTCTTCCTGGAGAACGTCATCCGCGATGCGGTCACCTACACCGAGCACGCCAAGCGCAAGACTGTGACCGCCATGGACGTCGTCTACGCTCTCAAGCGCCAGGGCCGCACTCTGTACGGCTTCGGTGGATAAGCTCGCTTCGAGGCTTCACCAGATCACCACCACCCCAACTCAACCAATCGAACCAGTATCCACACTACCAATTACCACNCCGGCCATCCGCCGACTGGCTCGCCGCGGCGGCGTCAAGCGCATCAGCGGTCTGATCTACGAGGAGACCCGCGGCGTGCTGAAGGTCTTCCTGGAGAACGTCATCCGCGATGCGGTCACCTACACCGAGCACGCCAAGCGCAAGACTGTGACCGCCATGGACGTCGTCTACGCTCTCAAGCGCCAGGGCCGCACTCTGTACGGCTTCGGTGGATAAGCTCGCTTCGAGGCTTCACCAGATCACCACCACCCCAACTCAACCAATCGAACCAGTATCCACACTACCAATTACCACCCCCAAAACGGCCCTTTTCAGGGCCGACTACCCAGTGCGACAAAGGGAGCACGGTTGCATCATCCACCTCTCCTCTCTCCTTATTTTTCATTTCTAATTAAAATTCCAATTCCAAAACCCACACATTACTTCATTACTTTTCTCCTTGTACTCTCTCTTTATTTGAATAAAAGTCACTCTTTCCCAAACGCTTTATTTGTGAGATCTGTGTGTATGTGTGTGTGTGTGTTTACGTCCTTCAGGCGAGCATCTTGTTGAGGTACTCTTGGCGCTCCCGTTTCACCTGCCCATATCGGGCGGCCAGCGCCTCTCGCTCCCCGGTGACCGTCTCCAGTTGGACCTTCTTCGCGCGGCAGTCCCGCTTCAGCGCCTCCAGCTCCTCCATCAGCTCGCCCGTCTTCGCCTCGATCTGCTCCACGCTGGGCATGAACTCCTCCTCCTGAACGGCTCCTTCTTCCGAGGTCTCTGCATCACCATCCTCCTCGGCCAGCGTGCTGGCATTCGGCTCAAACTCAATGTCCGACTCGGAGAGAATGGTGCGCACGATGCGCCGGTGTTCCGCCTCCAGGGACTCTGCCAGCTGGGCGTTGCTGGCCACCAGGGCGTCCACCTGGCCGGCGGGCTCCTGCTCTGCGAGGTGCTTCCGCGCGGCGTCGATCTTCTCCAGGTGGCGGTTGAAGGAGCGCAGAAAGTCCTCCCAGCTGCCGTCGGTTTTGAGGGCGCCGCCGCCGCTGTTGAAGTTGACGGTGATCACCATGCTATTCGAAAAAGATGGTTAAGATTCTACATTCTACCTTACGTCTACTTTACGAACCTAGTTATAGAAGGTGGTGGTGAAGTACAATTTGGAGGGAAATCGTTGTAGAAAATCGCTGTTGAAGCAACACAAAACAAACTTCGTTCAACTGTCGTTGAGAAGAAGTTCCCGCCGTTGCCGCCGGGCAATCTTTCGGCAGCAGTGGTCAATGTTTTGGATTTGCGCACCAAACGCAGCTCTGTCTGAGCCGTCAGAGCTGTTTCTATTTTCTCACTGCTTTGGTGGTGGTGTTATCATCATCAGAAGAGAGTGCATGAAGGAAAGAAACCCGATCCAGGAACAGCAGCAGCAGCTCCACCCAAGACTGGTATATAGCTCTGAGGTCGGTGATGTACAAAACTGTGTCGTACATGTGCCGCTGCTGCTCTCGGCCCACATTCCCTCTCTTTCACTTTCACTGAATGAGTGAACGATGGCCCAGTGTGTGATATTCTCCTTTTAATTTTTTTTTCTGCCTTGGTCCTCTTCACCTCTAGTCAACTTGCTCGTTGTTGTTTTTACTGTTTTACTTTTATTATTTACTGCTACTGTTTACCTACTACTACTACTACCACTTCATCGGCTCTGTGCAACTCCCTCCCTCCAGTCAAGCCACATTGATTGAAATCATCCACCGCTCCTCAAGATGACAATCAGCTCTGCCCTGAACAGCCAGCTGATCGTGCCGATCACCATCTGGGGCTCCCGGTCGCCGACGCACTGCATCAGCTCGATCATCCTCACCAACGACTACCGCACGGTGATCACCGGCTGCAATGACGGCCAGATCTGCATCTGGGACCTCGATGAGGGGCGGAAATCGGTAAGTGAAAGAACATCTCAAGTTCAATGGTCAATGTCATTTCTATTTCTACTCTTTCTTATCTCTCCCTCTCAATCAGCTCACACCGAAAAGTCTGCTCTTTGGCCACACATCCTCGGTGCTCTGCCTGGCGAATGGCAAACAGGAGGGAGGAAATATGGGAAACCTTGGCGGCGGAAGCGGGGTCATCCTCGAGCAGCACTTTGTCAGCAGCTCAGAGTCTGGGGAGATGTCGCTGTGGGATCTCTCTGATGGGCGTTGCATTGAGACGGTGAAGCTGCAGCACGTCCACACGAACATTCACGTAAGTCGACTATTGAAGTTTTGTGTTTTATCTTATCATCATCATCACCTTTATCATCCCATTTGTCACCCTAGACCTACACCATCGACCACAAGGTGCGCTTCTTCTGCAACGGCTACTACGCGGAGATCCTCATCCTGGACGGCCTCACCCTGGAGGTCCTTTTCACGCTCAACTCGAAGCTCAACCCCGACTGGATCTCCGCCATCCACGTCCTCCGGCCGACCCGCTCTCAGGACGACGTCGTCATCGGCCTGAGCATCGCCGGCGTCATGAAGGTGTGGACGCTGTCGGGCAGCGAGGCCCACTGCGCCGAGCCGATCTACGAGAATGAGTCGAAGCCGATCCGCTGCCTGAACGCCCTCTCGATGACCTGCTGCGCCTACAACCAGCGGACGCTGATGATCGTCTGCGCCAAGTACTGGCAGATCTACGACGTGGGCGACTTTGCGCTGCTCTGCTCGGTGGAGAATCGCCGAGGGGAGCGCTGGGCCGGCGGCGACTTTCTCAGCGCTGAGCGGGTGATCATCTGGAGCGACGTCGGCAAGGCCTACCTCTACAAACTGCCCGTNTGGCAGATCTACGACGTGGGCGACTTTGCGCTGCTCTGCTCGGTGGAGAATCGCCGAGGGGAGCGCTGGGCCGGCGGCGACTTTCTCAGCGCTGAGCGGGTGATCATCTGGAGCGACGTCGGCAAGGCCTACCTCTACAAAC